AGGCGTGAAATAGGTGAGGGTGATTAAGCTGTACAAACTTCTAGTTACAAAATAAACAAATCACAAGTATGGAATGTACAGTGTGGGGAATATAGCCAATAACTATATAATATCTTTGTTGGTGACATATTGTAACTAGACTTATAGTGGTAGTTATTTTGAAATGTATAGAAATATTGAATCACTATGTTGTGTACCAAGAACTAACATAGTGTTGTCAGTCAATTATACTCCAAAAACAAACTTGTAGAAAAAGAGATCAGATTTGTGGTTACCAGAGGCGAGGGGTGAGGGGAGGGGGAAATGAATGAAGGTAGTCAAAGGCACAAATTTCCAGATACATAAGGACTAGTGATAAAATGTACAAGATAAATATAATTAACATTGCCATATGTCGTATATGAAAGTGAAGAGAGTAAATCCTAGGAGTTCTCATTACAAGGAAAAAATATTTTTTTGTTTCTTTAATTTTGTATCTATATGAGATGATGGGTGTTCACTAAAGTTATTGTGGTGATCATTGCATGATGCATGTAAGTCAAATCATTATGCTGTGTGTCTTGAACTTAGTGCTGTATGTCAACTATATCTCAGTAACTCTGGAAGAAAGGAAAAAGAGTTAGGGAGAGGTTTCTGATCATAGTCTCATTTACATCTACTCCTGATCAGGGAATTAGGGCCCTGCCAAAGGCACTGAACCCTGAATCATGAAAAACTCCCAGTAGTTCTTTCTAGAAGAGCTAGGGGTACAGTTAGATAACTAGGAGGCATTGCCCAGCCGTGCACCAGCCATCTAGGCATTCATAGGCCCAAGGAAAATGATAACCACCAAAGACAAAGATAAATCCTGCTGGGTCAGACTACTTCCACTAAGGTGGCACTGTTAAATAGATTCATTCGTAAGAACTGTTGCATGTGTCTGTTAAAGCCAAGGGTCAGTGAGATTTTCTCTTAGCTTGAAATAGAAGTTCCTCTGAATTCCAACCCTTAATTTATGTAAGCACTTGATCTTTAACCCAATTAAATGCAGCTCTTATACAAATTAATTTTAACAATACCATCCAGCGGCAGAAAATATCGTACATCTAAAACATGCATATATAGACACACAAAGACAGATGAAAACAGAGAACTTTTACTACTATTTGTGGAAAAGACACAAGCTTTTTTTATCTGTCCAATTTGCAAATATTTCTTCTCCACCACCCCCCTTTTTTTCATCTGATGAGAAATATTTGCATATCAAAGAATGGTTCTTAGGTCCTAGAGAAGATGAGGGCAGAAAATCTACATCACAGAGACAGAGAGGTCTACAAGTTTTCTCCAAGATGGAGTGTAGGGGGAATATTTGCAAGACAATTCTGTTTCTAATATCCCAATATCTACAAGTATTTTTAGGTGAATAGAAGAGTTTTGGGAATTGACAAAATGGACTGAAGCACCATCCACCCATTGTTGAAATGTCCCTTTTCCTCTGGGTACAGTTAGCTTAGGAGTGAAGCCCTTAAAAAAAAAAAAAAAAAAAAAATCCTAATGGGTCCTGAATATCAGCTTCCAATTTGGTCTTATTTCTGATCATAAATTTATTAAATCCTTTCAAATATTTTGTCAAGTTTCAGCTGGGATGAAGAGTAAATATTTCTGGCAGTATTGAACAACCCCATAAATTTTAACTTAATAGTTTCTCCATGGCTGTTTAAGGTAATAATGTAGCAGTTTACCCAAAAACTCTTCAGTTTTGTCAACTCTGGGAGGGGCCTATATACAGCATTTAAGTCGATGTTGAAGAATTTGCACAGGGCCTTTGAGGACAGCCTTTTTTCCAGGATTTCTTTCAGTTGATTACAAATGAGACATCAATTCCTGGGCCAGTGTTTTGACTAACTCCTAGGAGGGTGTAACGGGGAGGCCAAGGTGTTGTTTTAAACACCTTCAATGTCTTTTATTTTTCATTAGCCTTTTACAAGAAAACTTTCAATAAAACTATTTTGGAATTTCAAAACCTTTCTGAGCCTTCAGCATGCTAATTAAAATAGGTACTCCTTTCTGTTTGATTTGGGAGTGCTTGCTTTCCAGTGCACTTTTTAAATGATCTTATCTATTTGGAATGTTCCTCATAATGGCCATTATAATTCTGGATTGTTTTTAGTAAAATCTTGCCACCTTGTGAGAGATCTTCAACTTCTGGGACTGCAGCTGTTAAACAAAAAATAAGCAAATGTGCCACCTTCCACACTCAACTGTTTGGATAGAAAGGATCCCATGGCTTTTAGCTAAGCCTTTGGGTGTCTTGAGCCACAGCAGTAATCTGGGGAGTAGAGAAAGGGCTGCAGAATGATTCCAAATAAATGGGGAACTACAGCTGCTACCAGCAGGTCCCAATATGGGATCTGGGGACAAAACCCCACAGGGCTGGGGATTCTTTTTTGGTTTCCCAGGTACTCACTTAGCAACAGCCTTTATCCGCACAAAACAAGACAAACATGTACACCTTGATGTACTGGCAGTAACTAAGAGATGTTACTGTGTCCTGGCCACAAGAAGGCCCTGTGTGCTCCGCCACCAGTTCCCACAGAACCTTGGAGTGGGGGAAGGATTGCACCAGCAAATCCCAAGGAATGAGGACTGTGGTATGGTTCCACAAATGAAGAGCTCTGGCTGCCAGCAGCAAGTCCCAACATGGAACCTGGGGGAGGATTCCAAACAAACAGAGACCTGCAGACCAAACTGTCAGCAGTGTCCAATGTGGAATTCAGGGACAGAGGGAAGGGCGGGGCTTTATACCCACAAAACTGTGGTCTGAAAGGTTAGGGGCTGGGCTCCAGGAAGAACCATCTGCCAGTTCAGTTGCACTCTGGGTAGAATCATCTACAAGCTCAAGCTGACCTGTCCTATAGAGGAAAGCCTGTTAGATCAGGAGCGTGAATGCAAAAAAAGAACAGAGCCCAACAGAGAGGAACCCACCAACAACCCTCAAAAATGACAAGACAGTGAACTCAAAATCGTTCACAGGTTTCCACGCCTGTGTCTCCTGTTGTCCCTCAAAGTCATCAGAAGTTTACTTTGGATCCCACTGCTGCCACAAATCTGTTAAAAAGAATAAAGTTTGATGAAGTAAATTTGAAGGCCTAATTGGCTTTATGCAATGATTCATGAATCAGGCAGCATCCCATCCAATAGATAGAAGGGCTCTCCTGGGGGCTGTACAGAATGGAAGATTTTTTACAGGCAGGAGGAGGATGGGGCAAGAATGCTATTTGCAAAAGGAAAGAAAGAATTGTTTCAAGCAAGGTCATCATTTCTCGGGAGAAGGGATCGGCAGGGGTCTTATGTAGTATATATATACCTCACTAAGTACTGATCAGAAAATTTCAGATTGTCTGTTTCAAGGTTCCATTCCTGGAAGAGGTTGAAACTGCAATTCAGTCTCAGTTTGCTGTTGCTGGGGGCAAATGACTCCATTTTGGGCTTGTTTTGTTTTAACAAAGCCAGCAGTATTTTGTTATTTTTGTTATGGCAGCCCTAGTAGACAAATACATCGTTTAAAGCCTATCTTTCTCCATTCTACTCTGAACTCCTTAAGGACTGAGAATATGTCTGTATTTCACTACTGAATTCTCAGTTGAGTGTCTGATTTCAAGCAAGAGCCAATACTTCTTTGTTTAATTCATGAATTAATGAATAAGTGAGTGAATGGGGCAGGGTCATGTCAGTTTCATGCTAAAAGCTCTCTATCTTTCAGATTCTTCAGTGCTCTTCTGTGAGGTTGACAAGCAGACATGTTGAGTGTAAGAACATCCCTGAAAACAAGAACTCAAGAGTGTCACCTTCTAGACTAATGAAAGGGTTCTGCAATTGTGACTTCAATGCAGAAATATTGGGAGCTTAGGAGTGAGAACCCCACAGGAGGTGCTTAGTGGTCTGCTACCTTTCTGTGCAGTGAGTGCCCACAATAGCAAGGTACAGACAAGCCTGGGCGCTATGCTACAGGAATCCCACAGCTCCCTTCCAGGGATCTTGGAATGGTGCCTCAGAACTGGGAATCCAATCCTGGCATTGGGTCCCGAGAAGATGCTATCGCTCCAGAGAACCACCTGAGTGAGTTCCAGGGTCAGACTTCCCACATTACCAACACCAAGAATCTTAAGTTAGTCTTTATGGGTCCTAGATCCAGATGCTTTCCAGGATTCACGAGCACTATCTAGATTGGTGCAAATTAGTGCTCTAGAAAAGTCTAATGGCCCCATGGAATGTACATGGTGTTATAGGGCCTCTGGGAGTCCACATATGTCTTTGTTGTGTGGAGACTCTATGGGTGCTAATTTGAGAGGCAAGAAGGTCCTTAACCCTCCCCCCAGCAATATCTCTCTCCATTATTAGGTGGCTAAATGCCTAAAATTACTCACATCACTCTTTGGAATGAGCATTACTATTCCTGGTTACCTCTTTTAAAAAATGAACCCCCCAATTTGCTCCACATTTTCAGTCATTAACATCTTACTCTGAATTAGTTCACCCACTGTTTCCTCCAGGTAGGCTTGACCTGGGTGGGGTCAGAATGGGAGAAAGAGGGAAAAGATATATATAGGGGAAACAGGTCTTGAATATAAATCCTGTCAACATCACTGTTTTTATAGGGTTCGGGCTTGGACCTTGACCACAGGCCCCCCGTATGCCTGGCTAAACCATGAGTCATGCACATCGGGATTTTGACTTATTCTCATGCCAGCAAGGGAGGGGAATACCAAGTTGTGACAGTTCTCTGGCATAGAAGGTAAGGAGAAGTAACAAAATGTTATATTTCCTTTATGCTGAACCTTTGTTCCCTTTACCCCATGGCCCATAAATGGTTAACCTACTTAAACTGGAGAAGCTTTCTGCCTCCTGCAAAGTTTGATTCCTGGAGGCAGATTTTTTTTTTTAATCCAGCAAGTGTCAGATAATTGGAAGGGTGGAGTCACGCGGTAAACCCCGACACACCTTTGTCAGGACTTGTTGGGAAGCAAAGAACTGAAAGAAACAAGAGGGAGAGAAGAAGTGAACATTTTTGAAAGATCACTCAGCCCTAACACACCTTGGCTGGGTCTGGATAAAAAAAAGTGGAAACGGCAAACGTCTAGAAGAAAGCGTCAGAGGAAGAAAGAGAGAGGGGGCATTTATTCAAAGCTGTTTCCAGTTCCCTTCAACATCTCAAACTAAGTAAGTAACAGGTGGAATTTTACCTTTTTCTCTTTTTATGAGATTTTAATTTGAAGTTTGCCTCTGAGAACTTAAATGTTTGTCAGAGAATATAAGATGATGTTGTGTGGTTTCCAGTGTTCTGGTTGAAGTCATTAATTGATCAGAAATTGTTTCTTTGGCTTCTGTGTTCTGCTTAGGGTAGATTTTTT